AAGCAGCCTCCTTGCCATCTTCATACTATGTATCATCATCAGCATCATCAGCTGCATCAGCAGCAGCAGCATCATCATCATCATCGCCATCATCAGCATGATCATCATCACCATCACCATCATCACCATTGCCATCAGCAGCAGCAGCAGTATCAGCATCGTCATCGGCATCATTATAAAGGGCATCACCATCAGCAAAAGCAGCACCCTTATCAGAACCAGCATCAGCCTCATCACCATGGTTAACCTCACCATCATCACCATCAACAACATCAGCATCAGCATGATCATCCTCAGCATGATGATCATCGTCATCATCATCAGCAGCAGCAGCATCAGCATCATCAGCATCCCATCAATCCATCCTTCCATCCTCTTCCACCCGCATATTCCTCCTCCCCCTCCGCTTCCCCCTCATATTCCCCCCAACTGACACACACACACACACACACACACACACACACACGCACACGCACACCACCAGCTGGCGGGCCTTCCCGGCGCGTGGCGCACGTAGGCGCCCTCGGCGCCCAGCAGGCAGAGGAGGACATCCTCCAGCAGGGCCTGCTCCTGCCAGGGCTCTTCTCGATCCTCACTCCTCGCTCCTACGCTTCCTCGCTCCTCGCCCTTCATCGCTCCTCGCTCCTCACCCGAGTTGGCCTTCTACTTGAGAAGACGGCAGACCTGGTGGTTCAGAAGCAAGAAGCGGGCCCTTCGCACTTATACTCGCCAGCGGCCCTCGGGTGCCTTGCACGCGTTCAACACCGCCGCTCATGACCATATCACGTGGTCGCCCTTCGTTCCAGAATTTCATTCCCTACGCAGACGCAGACGGCGGGGGCTACCTATTGGCGGCGCGCCGAATGTTGAAGCTCACGCAAGGGATCGGTGACCGCCAAGTTCGATTTGGGACCCGTCGCCCTCGCGAGTCTCGGTACGGAAAACGCTTGAACACACATGGTACGATGTATCGCGCGGGCCCGCTGCTTGAGAACTGCGAGTGACAAGAGGTTCGGCGCATACCAAATCAACGTGCAAAGGTGGGGCCGGTCTACATACGATTCTGGAAGGACCTGACCGACTCTCAGCGCAAGTCCCACCACGCTCCTGTACATCTAGGGGAACAGAAAGTGAGATAAACATAAAAACTCGGAGGTCCGCGCGATCCGAGAAATCCGCGCGGACCTCCAAGTTTTATGTTTATGTTTCTCTTTGTTCCCCTAACCACGTTCCTGTACATCTGCCCCACGCTTCCTGGAGCACGTCTGAAAAATCCAATCGCGCGTGCCGCCGTGGTGGCGGCCGACTGCAAGCTTGCAGCTTCCTCGTGGAGAAAAGTCCTGGCCACGCTTTGCGGTCCACTTCAAAGTTAGCCCTCACAGACATGGCTCATTTCATATTCAGAACTCGGTTGTTCCATTCAACATGTTCCTCTGGCAAAGGCCATCTGTCAGCGGAACGAATGCCGCAAAGGCCAATCGAACGCAAGACTGGAAAAGTCTGCAGTGGCCTCCGAAACTCCGGCTGGCTCTGAGTCGAACGTCGGGCCTCTACATGCTTCGCATCTGGGCGAAGCGGCATCGACTACCCGCTCCGAACTTCACCCTGATGGATGCCGTCCGATGCCCACCCCGAGGGCCGGCGCTGGGCCAGGCGACTCTGGCCGATCTCTGGAGGAGGGGGGGAAGGGAGGGGGATCGAGGGGGGAAGGAGGGGGAGGAGGAGGAGGAGGAGGAGGAGGAGGAGGAGGAGGGGGGGGCGGAAGGAAGGGAAAAGGAGGAGGAGGAGGAGGAGGAGGAGGGGGGGAAGGAGGGGGATTGAGGGGGGAAAGGGAACTCGACTACGCTGCGGCGCTCCCTTCTTCTTGTTGCCCCCGATGGGCCTCGCCATGTTCCTCCGCGGGGCCCTGCGCACTGGGACGGACCCTCCCGCGTGACGAAGGAGCTCTGCGACTATCTGCACCAGGCGAAGAGAACTGCCCGCGTTCTGCATGAACGCGCGCCTGGCACCTCGAGCGGGCTCGCCTGGAACTCGTGAATGCCCCCTGCTTCGAGTGCCTCTGCCTGACGCCTTGCCGCCGCGTCCTCCTCTCACGGGCCCCTGGGGTGCGAAGACGGTCCCTTGCAAGTCGAACAAGGCCATGGTGCGAGAGTCCTTCCCCGCGCGCTCGTCGCAAGAGAAGGCAAGAGCCTCCTTGATCCACCCGCTGCCCTCCACCGGGCTGGAGTTGTACATCGTGGTTCTGATGCGGCTTACGATCTGACCAAGACCTGCGTGCGCGGGGAGGCGTCCCGACAGATGCAATTCCTCAGAGCGCACACTATCGAAAGAGTGCCCTGGACAGCCGGCCCGGCCATTCCCTTGCTGGGGTTGGCTTTGCGTTCTTTCGAGCAGTCGCCGTGAGCCTCGCCTCATGGCCTTGATCACCAGGTGATCTCTGAGCACGATCACCGTCGTGAACGTGCTGTTCTCGAGTGCCCAGACCCGCGCTTCCAGCTGCACCAACAGGTGGTCCCTCGCCCCGCTCGAGGCCGCGTCCTTGTGACTGGCCTTATCGGAAGCGTCGTGGCTGACCCCGTCCGTGAGCATGCTCGCGGACCTCGGCCGGACGAGGTGCGCCATCGAAGGTATGAACACCGGGAGGTAGTACAGCATTCAGATGTTCAGCACAATGGTGAACGTTTTTTATTCGGCATCTCGACACTGGGCGGAAGGGGGGGAGGGGGAGGGGGTCTGGGTCTGGACCTCCGCTTAGTGCGACTGTTTGGAACCGTGCGTCCTATGGGGGAGACTCCACGTGCTCGAAACAGGCGCCAAAAAAGAGCCAAGATCTACTCCACGGGGGGGGGGGCGAGGGCCCGCGCCGATCGACACAAGAATGAATAACTCAAACAAACGCTCACATGTTCGAGCAAAATCTCAAGGCTCTCACAACATGTTTGGCAGATCTTGGGAAACGACGACCCTGGACGAGCAATGTCGATCCCGAAGCGATCTCTTGGACAATGGACCCGGCGAGTAGGAGGCCAAGGTATGGGTCTAAGCTGCTTCGCGATCACGAAAGATAGCTCGACACAGTACACATACATTTGTAGGTGTTGCCACCCATCCCAGGAGAAACACGCCGTGCGATCCCCCAAGGGGAAGCTAGATGGGACTGCAACTGCTGACAGGTGCCACGCAGCCCCACGCACGGATCCATCCGCCCGCAGCGCTGCGCATTGCCACTACCATCGGACCACCAACATCACCATCATCACCGCCCTCATCATCGCACATACCTTGAACACCGGCTATGATCATTACCATCACCATCATCATCACCATCAACATCACCATCACCATCACCATCACCATCATCATCATCATCATCATCATCATCATCATCATCATCATCACCATCATCATCACCATCAACATCATCAGCAGCAGCATCATCAGCAGAACCAGAACCAGAACCATGACCAGAGCCAGAACCATACCATACAATACCTATACGACCACCCTTCGGGTGATAAGGAGGTTCGGGGGGGAGGAACCAACGTATCACTCGATCGGTCTCACTATCGATCTCACTATCGATCTCAGTATCGGTCTCGCTCGGTCGATCTCCCTCGATCGATCTCACAATCGATCTCACAATCGATCTCACTCGATCTATCTCACTCTCGATCTCACTCGATCATCATCATCATCATCATCATCATCATCATCATCATCATCATCATCATCAGCAGCAGCAGCAGCAGCATCATCATCATCATCATCATCATCATCATCATCATCATCATCATCATCATCATCATCATCATCATCATCATCATCATCATCATCATCATCTCATCATCATCATCACCATCACCATATCAGCATCACCATCATCAGCATCATCATCAGCATTAACATCAGCATCAGCATCATCAGCAGCATCATCATCAGCATCACCATCATCATCATCATCATCATCATCATCATCATCATCATCATCATCATCATCATCATCATCATCTCATCATCATCATCATCATCATCATCATCATCATCATCATCATCATCATCATCATCATCATCATCATCATCATCATCATCATCATCATCATCATCATCATCATCATCATCATCATCATCATCATCATCATCATCATCATCATCATCATCATCGCGGGACACCGCGGGACACCGGCGGGACACCGCGGGGCACCGCGGGACACCGCGGGACACCGCGGGACACCGGCGGGACACCGCGGGCCACCGGCCGCCCGGAAGGGAGACATTTGGTCCGGCCGCGCCTCAGCCACACGGGACACCAGCGGGACACCGGCGGGACACCGCGGGCCACCGGCCGCCCGGAAGGGAGACATTTGGTCCGGCCGCGCCTCAGCCACAGGAGACTTTCTTCTCGCCCGCCCACGCAGCTTCGCCTCGCCCGCACGCACGGCACGCACGAACACGAAACCGAAATCGATTTCCCGGTAGGGGGGCTCTCCGTTCCACTTCGATCTCACCCCCTCACCTCCGACGACGTCAGACGTCATCATACACAATTCGGGGAGACGTAAGACTCGGGTTCGGGGGATGCGGGTTGGCCTGACGGGGCCATCATGAAAACGACAAGACCCAGTCCGAAATTTGACGCGAGCTCCCGCTGCAGACATCCCACGAAAACTGGATCGTCAAAATCCAGGGCGGGCTTGTCAAAGAACGCCGGCAAACCCGAGTCTTACGCTTCTCCGAACAATAACTATCACATCACATCGTATCGCAACGCATCACAGCATCACGCTCATCACGTCATCCCGCTGCTCCTCCGGCGCCGCCCCCCCGCGCCATGCGCCTCGCCCCTCGCTCCACGGTCCTGCCCCGCCCCGTTCCCCTCGCCCTCCTCCATCCTCCCCGCCAGCCCCAGCGCGCACGCGGAAAGCGCGTGGCCGGGAAGACGACGACGACGACGACGACGACGACGACGACGACGACGACGACGACGACGACGACGACGACGACGGCGGCGGCGACGAGCACGACGACGACGACGACGACGACGACGACGACGACGACGACGACGACGGCGGCGGCGACGAGCACGACGACGACGAGCACGACGACGACGACGACGACGACGACGACGACGACGACGAGCACGACGACGACGAGCACGACGACGACGACGACGACGACGACGGCGGCGGCGACGAGCACCAGGCCCGGGGCGGTCCTGCTCCTGCCGCGGGAGCCCCGCCAGCCCGCCGTCCGGCTCGGCGCGCGGGCCTGCTGCGGGGGGGGGGGCGGGGCGGGGAGGCCCGAGGGCTGGCGGTCCGCGTTTCGCGCCTGCTCTGGGCAGCGAACAGCGCACTTCTTTGATCCGCGGGTCGAGAGCGCACCCCTTCCTGTCGAAGCCAAGCGGGCCGCGCACAGCTTGAATTGACAGAGGGGGGAAGGCGGAGGGAGGGGCCTCACGACAAGGCCAGGAGGGGGCAAAGCCCCGGACTCGGGCGGTGCCGAGGACGATGTGCATGCAGAGGAACGCCTTGCACAGGAACCAGCGAACAGCGCACACTCAAACCTACAGGGAGGAATGGCGGAGGGCAAGGCGATCTTTACAGTGCACCGCTGACGAGCAGGCTCCAAGGGCGGTCAAGCTGCCTGGGACTGGAGGCCAGGGCAGAAAAGTTACACGTCGGGCCAAGCCGGCAACCTCTTGCAAAAGGGTCAGGCGATGAACGCGCTATGGGTATGGGTGCGAGTTGACGGACCCCGAGGGGGGGTCCCGTTCGAGCGTGGGGCCCCATCCGACAACACGCACCCTTAGCCCCCCCCCGAGATCTCCACCCCAGGAATTCTAGGGGACGTACAAATGTGCGTGTTGGTTGTCAGCTCGTGATATGTGGAAGCGAGCCTAAGACTAGAGCGCTAGGCTTGGCTGAGCCGATGAGCTCATCGAGCATCAGGTCGAGCATGTCCTCCTGCAGGTGGATTTGGAAGGAAAATGAAACTAGTAAAAATGTTCAACATTTCCACACACACACACACACAGAAAAAAAACGTCCCCTGACCACTTTTTCTTAGTCTTGAACAGTCCCCCTGCAGAGGGACATGCCCGACTTGGGTCTGAGACTGGAGCGCTGGAGCTGCCGACTCAGCTCAGCGCGCATCCTTCGGGAGCGGCCAAGAGGGGGGTGTCCAAGAGGGGGGGGGTGCAAATCATGACCGGCGGCACGTGCGCGGCCCAGCGGGGGGGCCAGGGACGTAATGAAACAAGAAGAGGCGCCATGAAATCTGGGGAAATATCATGGCCCCCGCCACGGTATCCACCCCCCCCTTCTAGTCATTCCCCCCCCTCTTTGCCGCCCACGAATCCTGGCGCCCCGCCTCTGGCGGGGCCGACGGGGCCGGGAGGCCGAAGGAGGGCCCCGGGGCAGCTGGAGCGAGGCCGCCCACGGCGACGGCAGAGGAAGCCGAGCACCGGCCGAGCCGGCCGCGAAACCGAGGCTCAAACTGGGTGGCCACAGGTTGAGCGGGGACCAAACCGTCCCGGCATTCTTGGAGAGGAGGAGGAGGAGGAGGAGGAGGAGGAGGAGGAGAAGGAGGAGGAGGAGGAGGAGGAAGTGGAGGAGGAGGAGGAGGAGGTGGAGGAGGGGGAGGAGGTGGAGGAGGAAGTGGTGGAGGAAGTGGAGGAGTGGGCCTGCCACGAGATGTTCTTGGAGCCCAGAAACGTTCTGAGAACACAAATCATGTGCTTTGAACGTAAGCCCGATGTGTCAAAACAAGACAGTGTCGGCCAGAACTGTTCTGAGAACATGTCGTAGAAACCACAAATGGCTCTTAGAACTTTGTTTGGTGGGCCTATAGGCACGCCTGGACGCTTCACCACTGCTTGAACATGGGAACCCCATCCCCGCCCCCCCACGATTTGTTCTGAGGGAGTTGGGGGCTCGCTCCCTTCGAGAGCTCCCGAGCGATGTGGAGCCCCCGCCCCCCCTTAGAATTGAGTCGGGCATGTTCTCCTACAGGTGGAGCTTGGACAAAAAATCCCCCCCACAAAAAAAAACACCGAAAATAGCCAAAGAATGCTGAACAAATCGTCCCCTGACGATTTGTGTACTATGTTTGAACAGTCCTCCCGTAGAGTGACGAACCAACAACACACACCCATATCCATAGGGGGTTCGGAGAAGGCTATGGGTGCGTGTTGTCGGATGGGGGTCCCCGCTCGAACGGTAGCGTTCCCCAGGGTCCGACAACCCGCACCCATACCCATAGCCAGTCCTCCTCCCAACGACCCCCCTATGGGTATGGGTGTGTGTTGTCCGTTCGTCATAGAGGGACAAGCCCGACTGGACCTTTAGACGCCCGAGAGGCCAAGATCCGCAGGCCGCAGGCAACCCGGCAGGGCACCAGCCACGCGGCAGCGGCACCGAGCCGAACCGGCCACACCGAGCCGGCCGAGCGCAACCGACTGCGACGCACAGCCGAGCCGACTGCACCGCGAGCACCCCTCTTGAGGAGCGAGCAAGCAGCACACGCACCCATACCCCTCCTCCTCCTCCTCCTCCTCCTCGGAGGGAGAAGGACTGGCTATGGGTATGATATGGGTGCGGATTGTCGGACCCCTTTGGGAGGCTCCCGTTCGAGCAGGGACCCCCCTCCGACAACACGCACCCGCGGCTCATCCCGTCCCCCCTGTGGGTATGGGTGCGTGCTGGTCATTCGCCACTCCTGCCGCGAGGGGGCACCCCAGGACCGCGGGAGCTCTGCGCTCGGCCGCCGCGCCCGGGGAGGCGAGAGGGGCCCCGACTGGACCCCGCCGCGGGGGGGGGCCCCGCCGGGGCTCCGCGCGGGGCAGGCTCCCGTCGCGGCGGCGTGCGCCGCTGACTGCCGGCACCGCGACGAGCGCTCAGCCCCGGACGACCGCGGCTGCCCGACAGAGCAGATCGCTCGATCTCGGCCGACGGCTTGGCCAGCGGCGGCGTGCTGCATCCGAGCCGAGGCCGCCGCCTGGGGCCGCCGCCTCCTCCGCGCGGCGCGAACCCGCCGGGGTCGCCCCGCCCCGCCGACCCCCCCAAAGGGGCCGAGGAGGGGCGGGCGGGCGGCGGGAAGGGAAGCGGGCCTCGCGCGCGAGTGCGCAGCCACCGTGCGCCGCGGCCTGCGCGGGCGGCCGGCGCGGCGCGCCGCAGTGGACACGAGGGCACTTACGCGCGGCCTCACGCGCCGCCAAGGCCGACGAAGACGGTCCCTGCTCTTCCCTCCTCGCACCTCTCGCCGTGGCTCGGACGTCCGTTCCCCGTGCACTTGTCGATGTCGCGCGTGCACTTTTCGCCAGCTGAGCAGACATGCTAGTGGTCCGCGCCGAAACAAAATGCACACGTCCGCGCGACGCCAAGACCTTCGGCAACGCCCACACATCCGGGGCCCCGTGCTGATCCACGCAGCGCTCTCCGCTCCCCTGGACGCTCCTGCCCTCGGCTGGGAGCGACGCGGCAGTGCTGCGTGAGGCAGGAGCCTGGGGTGCAGTCGGCGAGTGTCACAAAAAAATGCGGGAGAAGGATGCAGGGGCCTTGGACGCCCACGTCGAAGCTTCTCGAGCGGGGCGCGGCCGACGAAAGCGGCCCAGGACGGACCGAGGAGGCAAGGACGCAAGGGCACCCTTGGGTTATGTTGCTCCCATCGCACTTAAGCACCACATCCCAGAAATAATTTCGAGCACCCCGAAAAATGTCGAAACAGTGTCGAACGAGTGTCGCCTCCCAGGGCCCGACACGTGAAAACCCTCAGATCTCGAACAATTCTTCCTGGTGGTCAAAAGCTGAGGCAGGTGGGAGCATCCTGACCCTCGGCAGGGTTGCCCACCCTCGCTGTGCGAGTTGACCGTGAGCCGACGGGAGCCAGGCGACGCGAGCGAGCGCAGGAGAGCGTTCCTTCATGGTCGGCGATGACGGGCGTCATGGGGGGGGGGGGGGGCGGGGGGGGGGGTATGACGCAACGCCGCGAACTGCGCACTGCGCTCCTCCCGAGGAAGCCGAAGCCGAGGGAGAGGCGGCACCGCTGCGCCGTGCGCCCCCGTGCACAAAGGGCGGGCGTGATCGCGCACGGGGGGCCCCGGCTCCGCTTCGGGAGGCACGGCCGCGAGAGGCCGACGCCCCGCGAGGGCCCCGAGCGGAGGGGGAAGCCCGGCCCGTCGCGCCGCCCGCGGTGCCTCGAGAGGCGGCGCGGAGGGGAGAACGGGCGGGGCGAGGAGGCGGCGAGCCTCGATGGTGGACCTTGGGTCGGGCAGGTCCCCCTCTCCCTGCAGGCGGGATGCGGGCGAAGACTAAAAGTAGTCAAGAAGGTGCACAAAAGATGCTCAAAAATACGATTTGTAGCAGAAAACATCGTCCCCTGACGTTTTTTTGTTGAAAACTGGATGTTCCTCCTGCAGAGGGACAGGCCCGGCTTGATCGTAGATCGCTCGCGCACTGCTGTCATCTGCGGCTCATGAGCGGAACGACGAGCCCCGCCGGCGGAACTGGTCTCGGCGCAGCAAGTGGCTTTCCTGCACCTCGTGACTGCCACGTCAACGCCAGCGAAGAAAGGATGCATGGGTCGTAAGGCCGCGCCTCGGCGACGCCGGCGCGGAAGAGAAACCGGCCCCACATCGAGTCGCGCCGCCGATGCATCGGCGATGCGGCGCGATCGATCCCAGGACCCGGCCTACTCGGAGCCCAATATCTGGAAGGCCGAGGCGGGGACACACTCGGCCAGGTCAGCCCCAAAGCGGGCTCGGCCGGGGCCCTGCCTTGCCGTCGCGCTCGGACGTCCATTTCCCGTGCATTTGTCGGATTCGTGCGTGTTATTTTTCCCTCGATGGTCGAGGATGGTCCCCGTGGTGTCTCGCCGAGAGAAAATCCACACGCCCAGGCGATGCCCCAAGATCTGGCGCCCGCCCGGCCGCCCAGCAGCCCCCAAGCCCGGGAGCCGCGGAGGGAGGAGAGCGGCGAGGTCGGTCACGCGCGGGCCCCCCGGGGAGCCAGGGCAGCCCAAAAGAGGGGGATCGGCCGATGCCCCCGCTGCTGGGGGGCGTGCGAGAGAGGGGGGCGTCCAAGGGAGGGGTCGCAGGTCGTGGCCCGAGGCATGTGTAGGGGGCCACATGCGAACCCTACCCCTACCCTCCCCCTCAGAAATCGTGGGGGGTAGGGCTAAGGTTCGCATGTGGCCCCCTAATGTGCGCGGCCCGGGGAGGGGGGCCAGGGGGCGCCTCAAGGTGAGGAGAGCCGCCACGAGATCTAGGGAGATGTCGTGGCCCCGGCCATGATATCCCCCCCCTGATCATCACCCCCGTCTCGGCCGCTCCCGAACTACGTGAACCGCGACCTGTCTCGGGGATCTACTGACCCGTGTCAATCAGAGGCCTCCTAGATGGGGTCGGAGTAGATGGTCTCGGAGCATCGCGCCGCATCGCCGATCCGTCGCCGATACATCGCCGACGCATCGGCGATGCATCGGCGAGGCATCGGCAATGCGCTGGGAATCGGGCTCCACGTCGAGCCGCATCGCCCATGCACCGACCCCAGGACCCCATCTAGGAGGCCTGGATCAACGCAAGCCCAGGTCAGTCAGGCTTCACGGGATCCTGCACGCAAGCCTGGGTCGGTGCACCCATGCTCCTCCTCCTCCTCCTCCTCCTCCTCCTCCTCCTCCTCCTCCTCCTCCTCCTCCTCCTCCTCCTCCTCCTCCCCTCCTCTTGCTCCTCCTCCTGCACCTCATCCGCCTCCTCTCCTCCTCCTCCTCCTCCCTCCTGCTCTGCTCCTCTCCTCCTCCTCTCCTCCTCCTCCTCTCCTCCTCCTCTCCTCTCCTCCTCCCTCCTCCTCCTCCTCCTCCTCGCAAGCATGGGTCGGTGCACCCCTGGCCCTGCGGGATCCTGCAAGGCCCGGCGCCCTGGCCGACCCCCGTTGGCCTCGCTGCCCCCGTCTCGAGGCGCCCGAGACGCTCCCGGAGGGCGGATCCGCTCCCGGGGGGCCCGCAGCGGAGGGCCTGGGGGTCGAGGAGCGAGCGAGGAGCGAGCGGGGAGGGGGAGGAGGGGAGGAGGGGGAGGGGGGAGGAGGGAGGAGGAGGAGGAGGAGGAGGAGGAGGAGGAGGGGAGGAGGAGGAGGAGGAGGAGGAGGAGGAGGAGGAGGAGGAGGAGGAGGAGGAGGAGGAGGAGGAGGAGGAGGAGGAGGAGGAGGAGGAGGAGGAGGAGGAGGAGGAGGAAGAGGAGGAGGAGGAGGAGCCTGGAGGCGGCGAGGACGGCATCGCGACGAGGCTGCCCGTGATGCACGGGACGCCAGCCTCTCGGGGGCTGCGGCGCGCGGACGCGGACGCGCGCGCGCCCGCACGGCTGCGGCGGGGCGATCAGGAGCCCGCGCTTGCAGGAAGCCGTCGGCGCGACGGCGGCGGCGGCGGCAACGGAAGCTATCAGGCAGCGCAGACTCCAAACGGATCAGAAGACCGAAAGGAAGTGGACTGCGATGGACCTCAGCACACTGGACTGGAGTAGACTTGAGTGGACTGGGGTGGACTCTACTCCACTCTACTCTACTCTACTCCATTCTCCGTCACTGTACTATACCATCTACACTACTCCACTCTACCCTACTCGACCCTATCCTACCCTAACCTACTCTACCATACTCTACCGTATTCCCACTCTACTCTACTCCAGTCTACTCCTACTATACTCGACTCTAGTGTATTATCGTCTACTCTTCTCTAGCCTACTCTACTCGGATATGATATACTCAACCCTCTTATACACGGCTCTACTCTACTACCTATCCTACTATGGTATACTCTACTCTGCCCCACTCTAGCATACCCGACCCTGACCAAGCCTACTCTACTCTACCCGACTGTAATCATACTCATACTCTACTCGACTCTACTCCTGCTTTACCCTTCTCGAAGATCCGCTCATCTACCCTACCCTTCCCTACCCTAACCTGCTCTGACCCATACTCTACTCTGCAATTGCATACCCGACTCTACTCAACAATATATCCTACCCTTCTCTGTTCTGTTCTACTCTACTCTAATCTACACTACCTTAACACTTCCCTACCCTACCCTAGAACACCCTAACAGAACCTACCCTAACCTACACGACTCTGCTCTACTCATACTCAATGATACTCTAGCCCTCCTTCGATCCCCTGTCATAGAATGTGATGTCCTCTCCTCTACTCTGCTTCACTCGACTATACTATACTATCCTCGACTTTACTCTACCTTCTACCCTACTCTACTCTACTCTGGTCTACTCTACCGTACTCTACTATTTTCTAATCCCACCTGCCCTTTGGGCTAAGGTGGTACAACGATATCTGATTTCCCCCTCCAAAGCCCTCGTCCCCTCCGGGAGGGGTACCCTCCCCCTCCCGTCCCTGAGGTGTTGTTCGGGGGGTCGCGGGGTGGCAGTGGGGCCTGTTTCGCCGAAGATTGCTTCAGGGGGGCATCCGATGCTCCGAGATGGCCTCCCAGTCGTCTCAAGATAGCCGAAAATGGGTCAAGTTAGCTTCCGACATACCTCCAAGAGGCCCAACGAGGGCCACAAAACGGTTCCGAGTGCTCTCGGAGCCGTCCCCCAAAGACCCCCCTAAAGGATCCAACATCCGTCAAAAACCGAAGAAGACTGGCCTGGCGAAAACCCCAACCGCATGCAGTTGTGAGTAACGCAGTTGTGAGCTTCGTTTTCGGTGGAGCTCGATGGAGCTAAAAAGGGGCCACGAAACTTGTGAGCGGTGTGCTGACATGGTTGCGGGGACCGCATGCGAGCACTGCCACTCGGGCCTTCGGTGGAACTCCCGTAATGGGCGGGGGGGGAGGGCATGCGGCTGCGGCCACTGGGACCTTTGGTGGAGCTCCCTATAGAGCCACGAAACGCGTGATCGGTGTGCCGACATGGGTGGCAGGGACGCATGCGGGCTGCGCCACTGGGACCTTCGGTGGGGTTCCATATGAGGCCACGAAACGTGGGAGGGGTATGCCGAAATGGGTGGCGGGAACGCATTGGAACTGCGCCACTGGGACCTTCGGTGGAGCTCCTATGAGGCCACGAAACGTGTTGAGGGGTGTGCCGACGGGTGGCGGGGACGCTTGCGAGCTGCGCTATGGGGACCTTCGGCAGAGCTCCCTGTGTGGTCACGAATCGCGTGAGGGGTTGGAATCACATGTGAACATGCGGAGGCCAGTTGCTGGATGCACTGCAGGAAAGGCATGTAGATAGCTGGCGTACTTACCCACACTAGGGGCCGAACCCTGGCAAGACATGCGGCCACATGTGTATCCAGCTCTCGCCCAGGCGGTTCACGTCATGTGTATAGAGCTTCCTGGTAAGGAACACACCAGACAAATCCCCGCTTTGTGGGGCTCCACTCTCGACGAGGCAGGAACACGACGACGACCGGGGGGAAGGGAAGGAGAATGAGAAGGGATGAGGAAGAAGCGAGGAGTAAGAGGAGCAGAAGGAGGATCATAAGAAGAAGAAGAAGAAGAAGAAGAAGAAGAAGCACGGAGGCGCTTTGCCGTAGCATATCCGTGTACGTGTATGATATCCGGTCGCAGGCGGCGCCTTCGCGAAACGTGACGTTACCAACCACCTCCCCCCCCTGGTAACGCCCGACATCACCCCAGAATAAAATGAGCCTGGCGAAGGACCAACCCACATGCAGTTGTGAGTAACGCGGTTCTGAGCATCGTCTTCGGTGGACCTCCCACGGGGGGCCACGAAACATGTGAGGGATGTGTCGAAATGGGAGGAAGGGGCGCATGCGGCCGCGACCGCAGGGACATTCGGTGGAGCTCCCCATGGGGCCACGAAACGCAGTGCCGGCTACGGGGGAGACGCATGCGAACTGCGCCACTCGGACCTTCGGTGGGGCTCCATATCGGGCCACGTAGCGTGGGAAGTGCCGACATGGCTGGCGAGGACGCAGGCGGGCTGTGCCACTGGGACCTTTGGTGGAGCTCCCCATGGGGCCACGAAACGTATGAGGAATGTGCCGAAATGGGTGGCGGGGACGCATGGGAACTGCGCTACTGGGACCTTCGGTGGAGCTCTCTATGTTGGCCACGAAACGTGTGAGGCGCGTGCCGAAATGGGTGGCAGGGACGCATGCGAACTGTGCCACTGGAAGGTGGCGGGACCGCATGCGAACTACGCCACTGGGACCTCCAGTGGAGCTCCCATATGGGGCCACGAAACGTCGAAAAGGTGCGCCAAAGTGGGTGCTGGACCGCATGCGAGCACTGCCACTGGGACCTTCGGTGGGGCCCCCTATGCGGCCACGAAACGTGTGAGGGGCATGCCGACATGAGTGGCGGGGACGCATGGGAACTGCGCCACTGGGACCTTCCGTGGAGCTCCCCATGTGGCCACGAACCGTGTGAGGGGTGTGCCAACAAGGGTGGCGGGAACGCCTGTGAACTGCGCCGCTGGAACCTTCGGTGGAGCCGCTATGGGCCACGAAAGGTCGAAGAGGTGTGCCGAAATGTGGCGGGAACGCATGCGAACTGCGCCGCTGGGGCATTCGGTGGGGCTCCCTGTGGGCCAACATGGGGTGTGCTACTGGGACCTTCGGTGGAGCTCCCCATGGGGCCACGAAACGTATGAGGGGGGTGCCCAAACTTGCGGCGGAATCGCATGCGAACTGTGCCACTGGGACCTTCGGTGGGGCTCCCTATGGGGCCACGAAACGTGTGAGGGTTGTGCCGACACGGGTGCGGAACCGCATGCGAACTGCGCCACTGGGACCTTCGTGAGGCTCCCGATGAGGCCACGCAGCGTGTGATGGGTATGCCGAAATGGGTGGCGGGACCGCACGCGCCACTGGGACCTTCGGTGGAGCTCCTATGAGGCCACGAAACGTATGAGGGGTGTGCCGAAATGTGTGGCGGCGAGAACGCATGCGAACTGCGCCACTGGGACGTTTGGTGGGGCTTCCTGTGGGCCACGAAACTTATGAGGGGTGTGCCGAAATTGGTGGTGGGGCCGCATGCGAACTGCGCCACAAGCTCCCAATGGGCCACGAAATGTATGAGGGGTGTGCCGAAATTGGTGGTGAGACGCATGCGAACTGCGCCACTGGGACCTTCAATGGAGCCCCTTATGGGGCCACGAAGCGTGTGAGGGGTGTGCCGGAATCTAACGGGTGCGGAGGGCAGAGGCAGGGATGGGAGGAGGGAGGAGGAGGAGGAGGAGGAGGAGGAGGAGGAGGAGGAGGAGGAGGAGGATTGTTGTGCTCCCTCTGTGGACGCCGAGCATGCTAGCTGCGAGGAGGAGGAGGAGGAGGAGGAGGAGGAGGAGGAGAAGGAGGAAGAGGAGGAGGAGGAGGGAGGGAGGGAGGGAGGGAGGGAGGAGGAGCAGGAGGAGGAGGAGGAAGAGGTGGAGGAGGAGGAGGAGGAGGAGGACGCGGGGCACGGTCTCTTCAAGACGAGGACTCAACACCACAGGATGGTCGGGAAAAACGCTCTCCTGCTTGAGCACAGCTCGTGACCCCTGTGAACTGGTGGGTGGGGGACCTGCCTTGGGGGCGCCGACGGCCGTTCCAGGTTGCGGAACGCTCCGGAATCATCGTATCTTCGTCTTATGGCCCCACCTCCTGAGACCCCCCGTAGGTCCGAGAAGGGCCAAAAACTGGCAACTACCTCCACTCTCGAACCTCTTCTCCCGCCAACGAACCTCTACGCCGCAGCGGCTCCCGCTACAGCGGCTGGAGGCTATCGGGGCACGCTCACCAGCTCGGTGTGTCGTCTGCCGAGCGAGCGAGCAAGCGAGCATGGCCAAGCATCTGGAGGGCAGCGTGGGCAAACAAACGGCAGGAACGCAGACGGAACATGCGCGCCGTTCACACAACAAACGAGCCACCTGGAACAGAAATGCATTATCATCACCTGGGGCAAACTCAGCCGATCCGGAATGTGAGGTTCAAAAAACCTAAGCAGCTACAGCCTAGAGCCTGAGCTTCAGCTCTGATTGAGGGGGTGCAGGGGTGACCTTGCCGTGGGAGGGGGGGGGACCCCGGTACTGGTGCGCCTGTGCTCCGCTTTGCTCCGCTTTGCTCCACTTTCTTGGGGGCCCTCGGACACGTCGAAATGTACAACTCAGGACCTCCTAGGCCCTGCACAATCGCTGAACGATCGGGCCCAGACGCCCAAGATAGCCTCCAGTCGGCCGCAAAAGCGCCCAAGACGTTCCAAGAGGCCTCCAAGAGCAACACCAAGAGTGCGCTAAGAGGCAAAAACCATTAAATTCTTTTGGGGAAGCCTACAGTTCTAGACGCCCAAAAAGTTCCCAAGACGGCCCCCAAAAAAACCCGAAAACCGCCCCAAGACGCCCCAACAAGAGTCCCGAAATCGCCCAGTAGGCGCCCAAGACGGCCCAGGAAAGCCCCAAGACAGCGCCAAGAGAGGCCCCCCAGAAACCCCCAAGAGACCCCCTATGGAGCCCCGAGAGACCCCCATGGAGCCCCCAAGACGCCCCGAGAGGCAGAACGGCGCCCAATAGGCTTCAAAACTGCCTCCAAAGAGCCCCCGCGCAAGCATCCAGCCGCCCCCCCAGATCCGCGGCACTGGCAGAGGCCACACAAGCTCGCCTCGGGCACTGATGCCGCCCGTGGCTGCCGCAGACGGCCTGGGCGTGCCCCCCGCCCGCGACCACCCACTCACTCACTCAAGAGCCGCGCCTGGACGGCGCATCGGCAAAAGAGAAACTAAATACACATGTCTGGGAGCGGCTACCGTGCCTCGGAGCTCGACCACCGGCGGCCTTTGTGCAAGTGGCGCGCGAGGGTGATCAGCAACGCTCGCGTTCAGGAGGGGGCGAGTTACAGAGAAAAAAAAAAAAAGTCCCCCCCCCAGACTGAACCCCCCAGCCCCGGGTCGCCTAAGCCCTTGGGAGAAACCCTCCACCGCTAGCCCCCCTCTGCGGCTGTGAGTGGGAACGTTCAGGGGGCACCGGCTCTCAGGGGAGGAGCAATCGAGCCGGCTGCATCGGCCGATGGGCCCCCCGATGGAGCCAGCTCGGTGCCGGGAGACGGGCTCCATCGAGCTCGGCGACACATCGCGGCCCCCGAGCTTCACAGCGGGTCCCCGGGCCCCCCGAGGGGAGGAGGAACCTTTACCAGCCTGGAACTTCTCCCTATCCCTATGCTGGGCACCTCCTCATCACGATGCCAATCTTGGGGATCCCCTTATTTTTTGAGGGCGAACCCCTAAGATTGTCATCGCCCTTTGGCGTGTCGATCTCAGGGATGGGGATACGTTCGAGGCTGGTAGGAGCTGGGTCCAGCGGCGCGCCACCGAGCCATCGGCGGCAGGCCCCCTAGTCGGCGAGAGCCCGGGGCGGTCGGGCCGTCGTCGGCGACGAGAGGGCCACGGGGGGGCCGCTGCACCCTCCCCCTGGTGGCTCTCGGATCGTACAGTATAGGAGGTGGGCGTCAGCTCTCCTCCAAAATCCTCCTCCCTCTTTCTAACCTTGGCCACGCAAAAGGTCTCGCAGGCCTCCCAGTCCTCCTCCCTCTTTCTAGCATTGGCCACGCAAAGGGTCTCGCAGGCCGCTCCCGGCCCCAGCTGAGCTGAAAAACAGGGCGCGGGAGGGCGGGACAAGCGGCCCAACCCTCGAGCCTTCACAGGGCGGCGGCCCTGCACGGGTGCGCAAAGAAACGAGGAGGGGGAGGGAGCCTAACATCGCTTCACCTTCGTGAATCCGATTCTTTTTTATTCGGCGTTTCGACATTGGGCGGAAAGGGGGGGGGAGTGCGGGTCTGGCTCCGGACCTCTGCTTCGTGCGGCTGTTTGGAACAGTGCGTCCAATGTGGGGGAGACCCCACCCGCTCGAAACAGGCGCCCAGAAACGGCCAAGATCCACTCCATGGGGGTGGGGGGGGAGCGGGGGAGGGGGGGCCCGCGCCGATCGGCAAAACAATAAATCCGCCAGCCTCCTTGTTGGGCCACCAGGCTGTAGGGCGAAGGTTCGCAGTTTCCTGTACCAGTTGCAGCTTCCAGTTTCCACTGTTACAGTTCTGCTTCTTGCTGCTTACTGTTCCTTGTTGATGGACTGCGCGAGGGGGGAGGCCCAAAACGGGCAGGTTTAGCACGCCCTGAGCGTGTGCTCTGAATTGCTGGGGTGGGTAAAAGTGTCACCCCTCACGCACATCGGCGGGGTCAGGGTCCAAAAACACAAGGGATTTGCCACGTATCTGAAATTCGGTAGCACCCCTCAAGCGAATCGGCGGGGTCAGGGTCCGAAAACACATAGGATTTGCCATATTTCTAAAATTCGGTGGCACCCCTCACGCGGATCGGCGGGGTCAGGGTCCAAAAACACACAGGATTTACAACATTTCTGAAATTCGGTGGCACCCCTCACACAGATCGGCGGGGTCAGGGTCCAAAAACACATTGGATTTGCTACATTTCTGACATTCGGTAGCACCCCTCACGCAGATCGGCGGGGTCGTGGTCCAAAAACATATGGGATTTGCTACATTTCTGAAATTCGATGGCACCCCTCACGCAGATCGGCGGGGTCAGGGTCCAAAAACACAAAGGATTTGCCACATATCTGAAATTCGGTGGCACCCCTCACGCGGATCGGGGGGTCAGGGTCCAAAAACACATGGGATTTGCCATATTTTTGTAAATCCGGTGGCACCCCTCATGCAGATCGGCGGGGTCAGGGTCCAAAAACATATGGGATTTGCCACATTTCTGAAATTCGGTGGCACCCATCATGCAGATCGGCGGGGTCAGGCTCACAAGACAAGTTAATTGGTTTTGCCGATTACGAATCGGCCTCGCATGAAGTTCCGATACTGCTTCACGACGGCGCCCAGGCCTCATGACATGGCTCTCGCAGAGCGCATTCTCCGAGATAGGGGGCCGGCGGCAGGGGGCGAAGCCCTTACGGATAAAAAACAATCACATGCGCCTTCCCCTGGTGGTTTTCGGATCATACAGTAAGAGCTCGACCACAAGAAACCTTCCACAAGAAACCCAACCCTGAGACCCCAGGGCGTCCACTAGTGCTTGGCGTTGGAGCGTCACGCTCTCCATAGCAGAACCATCGAAGCCCGAGTAACCCAGGGCACCCTGAAGGCGAACAGGGTGTTTCGTGGCATGGGTCTCCACTGAATCTCGGCCCTCTGGCGGCCGTTCGGAACGATACTCCAGATTTCGTAATAAAGGGAGGGGGGTCTCATTTCGGGGGGGGGTCTCTTCCAGGCTATCTTGGAGGGCCTGGGGGGGTCTGGGGACGATGTTTTGGAGGGTTCTCCCACGGGGGAGGTCTGAAATGGCTTGTCTTGGAGGGTCCAGACCCCCTCCCTTTTATTACGAAATCTGGAGTGAACGCTCTCAGCGAGGCGCAGCCGCTGGAAGGCATTCCAGGGCTGGAGGACCGCCGAGAACCGACGAAAAAGATCCGAACGCTTCAAATCTCATACCCCTTGAGAGCCGATCCCCCGCAGCGCTGCCCCCAGTAACCAAGTTAAACGGGGGGGGGGGGCCATGTGCACCTTTCGTGCCCCGTTTGGGTCCCGGGGGGCCCCTCTAGGGCACCTGGGGTGCACCAAAGGCGTACCTCTCTTCACGCCCCTCTCCCTCTATGCGCGGTTGCCGTTGGAAGGAGAGCGTGCAACACTGCTCTCCGAAAACATACACACACTGTCCACGCGAGGCGATCGCCCCTCGAGGCCCCTTCTGCGCGAGCTGTCCCCCTGCCGGGGCTTCTTCGGTGCACGTTGCCCCCCCAAGGGGGGGGGACTAGCGTGTCGTAAGCGGGCTGGCGGCGCCATATTGCACGCTGTCCTTCCAGCCCCCACCGTAGCTGGAGGAGGAGAAGGCGGCATAAACCTAAGGTTCGGAGGTCCGCGAGGAAGTTGCTGTTTACGCCGTTCTCTCGTCATTGGCCATGCCAACCCACGCAAGGCCCGATGCGGGGGTGGGGGTCAGCCATCGTGCTACCATAAGGAGCGCGTAAGAAGGAACGGAGGGCCTCTTCTGCCACGGCGGCCCTGGGCCGCAAACAGGCTCCACGACGTAGATCTCAGGCACGGCCCGAACACCCGAGCCACTCCTGAGCCCAAAACGGCACCAAGAGGGCACCAAGAGGCCCTCAAGATCGTCCACGAAGCATCCATGACGGCCCAAGACGGCCCAAGAAAACCCATCGGTAGGGCCCCCAAGAAGGCCCAGAGAGGCCCCCTAAGACGGACCCCGAATGCGACAGACACGCAACGCCCGATGCCCCTGACCCCCTCCCCCCGCCTGGAGGGGGGGGGCGGGGCCTTGACCACGCCGAAGTGCAGCTCCGGGGCGCGCGGGCTGCGCCCGCCGCAGGCCAGCCCCCGCCCGGAGAGGCGGGACGGGGAGCGGAACACGCCGTCCCCGACCCTGGGGGCCGCGGGGGGGATAAGGTTAGGTCGAGCATGCCCCCGCTACGGGCGGAGTTTGAAGGAAGAAATTTTCAAAAACATTCAACTACGATTCAAACATTGCCACGAAAACTCCTAAAATCGTCCCCCGACTATCTTGTGTTGACTATTTTTGAAATACTCCTGCTGTAGAGGGACAGGCCCGACCTAAGGACACGGGGTGGTCGCGGGGGTGGGTGGGGGTCGAGGAAAATCGAGGGGGAGCGGAGGGGGGGAGGGTCAAGCCCGGGGAGGAGAGGGCGATCTCGACCTGGTCCTCTTCCTCCTCCTCCTCCTCCTCCTCCTCCTCCTCCTCCTCCGCCTCCTCCTCCTCCTCGTCCTCCTCCTCCTCCTCCTCCCCCTCGTCCTCATCATCATCATCATCCTACTCATCTTCCTCCTCCTCCTCCTTATCATCATTATCCTCGGCCCACCACCACCACCACCAACACCACAATCATCATCTTCTGCTCCAAATCCGCCATCGTGCCTGCACGGAGCGGGCGTGTTAGAATGCTTAGTCTGCTGTCTGGTTCTTTTGTATTCTCCAGGGCCCCCCCCCTCGACGCAGACGTTCCTCTGAGATCGCCCCCATTATGAGCATGTTTTGTGATGATACCAGGACGGCCAAAGATGGACCAAGACGGCTCTAAAGACGGCCTCTAGACAGCTCAAGAGGATCGCAAGACGACCCAAAAGGGCTCCAAGAGGCCCTCCAAGAGAGCCCGAGGAGGCCAAAACCATTGATTCCCCTTAGGCTCCAAGAGGGCACCCAGACGGCCCAGAGAGGCCCCCAAAGCGGCCTCCGAAGGCGTCAGGCGCGCCAATCGCCTCCCTTGAGGCCCCAGGAGGCCCCCGAGGGGCCCCCTTGGCCTTGGGCGGAGGGGAGGGGGGGGGAGGGGAGAGGGGGAGGGGGGGGGGGCCGCCTGTCGCGCAGGGGCGGCCCGAGGCCGAGGCAGTCGTTGTACTTGCCGCGGATCAGCAGCGGCGTCCCTATCTGCACCTCTGAGCGCGCTCGCTCGCTCGCTCGCGGGCCGAGGGTCGAGGGCAATGGGGCGAGGCGGGAGGCCATCCGGGGGGAAGCTCTACTCCTCCAGGGGCGTCGGAAGCCTCTGGAAGAGGAGGGAAAGGGAGAGGAGGAGGAGGAGGAGGAGGAGGAGGAGGAGGAGGAGGAGGAGGAGGAGGAGGAGGAGGAGGAGGAGGAGGGGGAGGAGGAGGAGGAGGAGGAGGAGGAGGAGGAGGAGGAGGACGAGGAGGAGGAGGAGCGTGCCCCCCACCCCCTGGGGGTGCTGGGGGCCTAGATACCCCGCCCCCGGTGGGGTCCTGTGACCGTCATGCTCTTCGTTTCCTTTGACAGATAATCTGGCGACCGCCCCTGGGTGGTGGATGGCTGCGTCCGAGCACGGACGCCGATGCCGACAGCGACAGCGACAGGAGGAGACCAAGAGGAGGAGCAGCAGCAGCGGTAGTGAGGAGGGAGGGGGGACCAGAGCAACTCCAGGATGCATGGACGATGCTGCAACACACCCTGCCGCCCCATTCCCCTTCCTTCAACGTACCTACGAGCACATGGTCTCATGACGGGAAGCGTCCCTAAGACATGCGCACCCAGGGCCTGCCAGTCACGCGAGAGACCCGTTTTGGAAATGCAAATAGGTAGTATCACACGTGGGAGGACCAGTCAAGCGAGAGCCCGGTTTTGAAAAAGACCCGCATCCATCTGTTTCACTGTTGTACAGTGGTCGGCTTCTGCGGCGCTCAATCGTCATCTCCAACGATACCCCCTTTTTGATTTGTAACTGCCGCCGATCCGTGCAAATTTTGCGAACGCTCGACTTCAATCAATCAAAAATGAGGAGATCTCCAGCGAGACATAAGTTTTGATCTGGAACCGCCCTCATTCCGTGCAGCTGCTGGAAGCGATCAAGACGAATGCGCGCGGCGCTGAATTGAGAGCCACCGTTTGAAAACAAATCACCCTAACCCAAGATGCATCAGCGATGCTACAATACACCCTCCTGTACCAAGTCCCCTCCTCAGACGTCCGTAGAAGTTGTTCTTTTCACTACGACCAGCGTCCCCC